GTAGAACTGTAATATTAGTGATTAGCTATAAAGAGAAAGCCATAAGGCCATTTAGGTAGATGGATTTGGTAATACTTAACATTCATTCCTGATTGCGTATGTAAAAAACAGCAACAACAAAACAACTTTTCAGGGCCAGTACAGTGACTCAGCATATGTGAAAATGCTTGCCAAGCAAGCCTGATGATTGAGTTTGGTTCCCGGAATTCATGGTGGACAGAGAGAATCAACTCTCCCCCCCCCCCACCCCAAAGACACACGAGCATGCACAGAACAGTTTTTTTTTCACACAAAAGTTTTTTTTGTTTTAAACAATGTTGAGTAAATACAAGGAAGCCTTTCTAGATTAATAAGAGCTTTCCACAAAGACAGCTCCGTCAACACATTCAGCTGTGTAAAAGACTGACTGGAGGAGCTACTGAGGCTGGATCACACAGACACCCCCAGAAATGTGACAGTCATGGTCTCCAGGTATGGAGATACAGGCAACTCTTTTTGCTTATTTCCCATGTAACCTGAGAAACAACCATTCCATCGTGGTCCCTACAGGGCTTTCCTTCTTTGCATTTTTGTAAAGTCTGAGTGCTTTGTAAGGAGATTGCATTTCTCTTAAAGAATGGAATAAGGGCCGGGTGGTGGTGGTGCACGCCTTTAATCCCAGCACTGGGGAGGCAGAGGCAGGCGGATCTCTGTGAGTTCGAGGCCAGGCTGGACCGACAGCCTCCAAAACAATACAGAGAAACCCTGTCTCGTAAAAAAAGAATGGAATAGGGTCTAAGAGATGGCTCAGCGGGTATAGTTGCTTGCTGCACAAACACGACCACTGGAGTTTGATCCCTGGAACCCATGGTGGAATGAGAGAATTGAACCCTCGGAGTTGCCCTCTGCCTCCACACGTTTGCTGTGGCATGCATGTGTCCCCTCCCAATAATGATGATAAGTTAGATAAAACGAAAGCAAAGCCCAAACCAAAAGGCAATCAAGACCGTGGCCTGGGAGTGAGGCAACAGGCTGGACAGTCTTTGAAGACCCAGAAAATCCACGGTGGAAGTGGCGGCACCCAGGGCGCAGACACCCAATCCTGTTGCATTTTACTAGTCGTGTTCTTGTCAAATCTGTGGCTTTGGTTGGACACACAGACCGTGTTAATAATTGTAGTTAATACATGGAGCCATCTCAGAACATTCGACAGTAGACTGAGCTCCTTAATCCTGTGAAGGCAGTTTGGGATCTCTAATTACTTGGTTGAAAAAAGGCAGACTACTCAGGGCTGCAGCAGTGTTTGGGAATTAATCTCTAAAGCCTGACAGTGAACATTCAATTCAATTAGGGAGAGCAATTGGCGAAGATTCCTCTCGCCTTCGCCCTTGGTAAGCAAGCCGGGACTGACTGGTCCTCATCGATTCAACTGCTGCAGTGGGCAGAGTGCAGCAGCAGACAGGTGTGCAGTGTCACCTGGTGTGTGTGTGGGGGGGGGCTGTCACACCTTGCTTCAGCTCTGTCTCCTTAAACCAGGACACCCTGCCGAGAACCCTAATACACACCACACCGTGCTGCCCTTCCGTTCCCGGCATCTTGGAGTCTGAACTTTCTTCTGCCTTATTCCTTCCACCCCTCCCTGCTCCCTGTTACCCCTGTCTGCTCCATGTTCGTCCCTGCCTCTCTGCCCTGCTCCCCGCATCTCTTCTACGCCTCCTCTTTCTTCTCCATCCTCGCTAACTGGACATCTCCCTGCCCGTCACCGAAGGGTTGTCAGTGAGTGTGTCACACACAAGTGTAGGGGCAGCGACTTTCCTGCTCTTCCCTTCTCGTGGCCTGCTTCCTTCCCTCATTGCTGAGCTCTGGCCTTGCTTCCTCTTGCTGCACAGGCTCCAGACCTAAAGTGGTCCTGTCCTCTGTCCTTCTCTGCCGCCTGTACTCCAAGGGCTTTCTGTTGCTCCTCACTCCCGTATGGACCTCGTCCCCACTGCTGCTGCCTGTCCCCAATTCCCGCACAACCACCTCCCCCACATCTTCTTCTTGTAGGGCAGCTAAAGGGGTCCTGTAGGCTAGAGCCAGCTGCCCCCCCCCACCCCAGGAGACCCTGGTTGCCCTACTGCCCATAGGGACACTCTCGCCATGTCCCTTCTTGCCACATCCTGGTCACCTCTCTGGCCGGACTGGCCTTTGCACTGTTGCATACTCAGGCAGAACGCTTTTCTCTCCCTTCAGGTCTTGAGTGGTCCACCATGGCCACCCTCCCAGCCCCTTCTCTTGCCTCTAGAGCCCCCTTTCTTGCTGACCTTGAGACATTAGCCTTAGTGCCTGACACATCCCATTCTGCTAGTTTGTGTAGGACCTGTGTTCCTGATGGCAAGGTCAACTCTTGGAAGGCAAGAGCCTTGATTTTGGTTGTTTCCCGTGAGCAGCGTCCGGCTAGTTAGCGAGCACTCGGGAGTGTTTGTTGAGTGAGTAAGTGGAAGAACTTTACGGGGAAAACATTTGGACGCCATTGTTTCCGAGCCACCTTCTTCCTCCCCATCTGCTCCTCCCACATGCCGCTCACTCTCTCGAAGGAATGCTGAGCAGTGCTCACGGCTCCTGGCAGTGCTTGCAGTAACAGCCATCCTGAGCTTGTTTTTAGGGTCTCACGGCAAATGTGTGAGTGAGTGAGTGAATGAGTGAATGAGTGAGTGAGTGAGTGAACGAGGGTGTGTGTGTGTTTGGAAAGACTCAGTGTAATGTAACTTCACCACCGTAGCCAGGTTTAGGGATGCAGTTCAAACTGTTGGGCAGCCTTGCCAACGTCCACCCCCAGGACACTCTTACTCCATCCACACTCCACTCCTCCTGACCCCGGAAGCAGCCTTTCTGTTTCCTGCCTGTGATTCTGACTACTCCGGGAACACCATGAAGGGAAACCACACAGAATTCGTCCTTTTGGGGCCGGCCTGCCCACGGACCACAGTGCGGCTCTAGCTCCTCCATGCTGCGGCTGCTGTCGGGAAGCCTGTCTAAGAGGCGCTCCACTGTGGGGGTGGGCTGCTTCTTGTTTATCCTCTCAGCTGTGCATGGACAAGTGAGCTCCTTCCACCCTCTTTCCTTATAGGTAAGGGCAAAACATCTGTGAGACCCCAGTAGCAGATGTTTGGGTCTATTCTCAGAAGTGGAATTGCTGGCCTTCATGGTAATGCTACAGATCTCTGGGAATCACCAAGCTATGGTCCATCATGCCCACACTACCTTCCTTACCTTCCTGCCAGCAGTGTAGGGGTCCTGACTTCTCTGCGTCCATGCCAACACTTGTTTTTTTTTTTTTAATACCAGCCTGCCTAATTAGTGTGATGCTGTAGTTCATGTGTCTTAGACAGTGACATCACACTTTGCAGATGCGGTGTGCCCTGTGTACGTGGTGTTGGCCTCTCACTGTCTAGCTGTGTGAGCCCTGCAGAGCTTCACGTGCTCACTTAATTTTCCTATTAGCATCCTGCTTGCACATAATTCTGAAGGAGCAGCCACGTTCTGCTCTCTGCTGCCCTGCTGCCAGTCCTCACTGTGCTCGCCAGCCTTCTGGCTGCTGCTCCTGTTAGCTCTGTGTCTTTAAATGGAACTAAGGCTGCCTCCGGGTTTTATTCTTTTCAGTATGGGACCTAGCTGTTGACCCCTGGTGTGGAAGGAAAGAATAGAGGGGCCCTCCCCACATTCTGTGGGACCTTCTCCTCATGACCTCTTGTTTGCATAAGCGTAGACATTTACATATTCCCAGGAAACCTTTCAGAACTCTGATTTTGAGAGCCTTCAGGACTTGGCAGGTGGAGTTAGCTCATCTTTAATGGGAGTTGCCCTAGGAGCAGGTTTGTGGAAGTGCGTGGGAGTGCTTGCTTCAGCTTTTCTAGAACTTACTCAGGAAAATCTGGTGCTGCTGATGCCCATGGAGCCTTGCTGTTTCAGAACCCCAATCCCTGCAAGCCTCCTAATCCCCACAGGCCTGCTCCCCATTCCTGCAAACCCCCAATCCCTTCAAGCCCCCTCCCAGTCTCTGCACCCCAATCCCTTCAAGCCCCCTCCCAGTCTCTGCACCCCAATCCCTGCAAGCCTCCTAATCCCCACAGGCCTGCTCCCCATTCCTGCAAACCCCCAATCCCTTCAAGCCCCCTCCCAGTCTCTGCACCCCAATCCCTTCAAGCCCCCTCCCAGTCTCTGCACCCCAATCCCTGCAAGCCTCCTAATCCCCACAGGCCTGCTCCCCATTCCTGCAAACCCCCAATCCCTTCAAGCCCCCTCCCAGTCTCTGCAAGCCCTGTCCAGCAGTTCCGCTGTTGCTCCTGCTGCAGCCTTACTCCTGTCTGAGGTGATGCTTTTCTCTCCAGTTTGCGGAGTGAGACAACAAGGCCCAGGGATGTAGAGTCACTGGATCTATCACATGACCAGCAAGATGCATTGTCAAGGGGAAGGTGTTCACAGTGTGTCCCAGTCGCCCTGTAGTGACAGGAGAACCAGGCCTGCCAGCTGGGGTCTGCCAGCTCTCCTGCCTGGGCTCGTAAGCCACTTGTAGGGGTCAGTTGTGGACTGGACATTCTCCTGAGAGCCTCGTTCCTCGATGGGGAGCCAGGATGACGTGTGGGGGAAGAACCCCTCTCCTGAGAAGATGCACGATTGCCCTGAGTCTGCTCCCTGTACTCTGTGACTGGCCTCTGTCTGGGTCTCGGTCCTCAAGAGATCCCTTGGCTGTGGCCTGGCCATGTGCTCTGTCTGCTCCAGGACATAGAAGGCTATAGAAGGCTGGGGCAGGCCTGTGACGTGTCTGTGGCTAGCAGGTAGGAGCAGCTGTGAAGGCTGAGTGGAGACAGGAATGCTGTTTTCTTAGCCCTAGAAAAAGGAAGCTTGCGCGCTTCTGTGAGGAAAAGCAGCTGTCGCTGTCGTAACGATGGGAAATAATAGAAACAAGGGAGCCCCTTGCTACCTGGAGCTCAGGCCCTCATCACAGCGTCTGGTGCTGCCTCTCTGTGCTTCCCTTGCAGGTGTGGAATGCTGTGGACTCGGGGCACTGCCTGCAGACCTACTCTGTACACAGCGAGGCAGTGCGGGCTGCACGATGGTCTCCGTGTGGCCGGCGCATCCTCAGTGGTGGCTTCGACTTTGCCCTGCACCTAACGGACCTGGAAACAGGTGTGTTCTGATGTCTCACTGCCCTGGGTCAGCCCTCTCGCTGGGCAGGCCTCTCCAGCCTGATTGCAAACCACCCACAGTCATGGTGTGGTGGGGGCCTCGGGACAGACTCTTCTCCCTCACGGGTGTGCAGATCATTTGCCAGTGTCACTGCAGCTGTCTGCAAAGCCCTGGAACTAGTCCTCCGCCAGTCAGCAAAGGACAGCCACGCTTGTCTCAGCCCCAAGCTGCAGGGCTGGATAAAGAGGCAGATTTTTAATCAACTTGTGCTGTGTAATTGGGACCAAAATATCACGGTGTCCTTTGGTTGGCATCAGTTTAGAATTCCTGTCAGTCCATGGGGTGGAACTGAGTTCCATAGGGAAGTCTTCAGAGGGGCTCTTCCCAGCATTTATACTGAGAGGCATCGGAGCAAGGCAGTTTCATGTAGGAAATTCCTCAGGAACCCTTCATCAGGTAGGGAGGGAGGGAGAAGCCAGCAAAAGAAGCATTTTCCAGACAGGTTCTACGCAGGAGTCCCGGGATGGGCCACTCAGGGACAGCAAGGGAGACTAGAGACTATTGATAAGGGGTCTTAACTACACTGCCCAACTCAGCCTTCGCTTCTGGGACTTTTAACAGAATTCTCATTCTGGCTGTCAGCGGCAGTGGGTCCTGAAGCCTGACAAGTTAGGGACTCATGGCAGTAGGTGACTGATGATGAGTCTGGAGCGTTCCATCTTGGAGGAACTGCAGCTGCTATCATGTGACATGTGTCTTAGTGGAGGGGGAGGGGAGGAGGTGGGTCATGGAGGGCAGCATGCTGGGGCTCTTGTGTGCAGGTTTAGAGAGACATGGTCCCATGTCCAAGTGTTACTGTCCAGTAGGGGGCCACAGAAGGCACTTCATCCTTCTCTGCTAGGAATGGTGTCTGCATGGGGCTCCTCTACTGAAGGATTGCTTTCATTCCCTTAATCTGTTACTTACTATACACCTACTGTGTGCAGAGCCTGTGCTGGGGTATGCTGGATCTCTTTTGTCCCCAGAGAGGACAGAGGGGATGGTTTGGATCTCAGCCTCCAGGAAGGCCTTTAGACCCCAAATGAGGCCTTTCCTGTGAGGATAGCTGCTGTTTCTGTCTGTGTCCTGGCAAGGGTGTCTCCCTGAGGATTGGGTCCATCCTGGTGGTCTCTTTGTCCATTGCTTGGGCGAGGCTGACTCTCATCTCCATAATTGGAGAGCTGAGGCTGGCCGCTGCTGTATCCTCCTGTCCCGAGTGATGACACTCCGGGCTGCTGGGGTGGGCCCGTGTGTTTGTGCACCCCTCCTCGGCCTGTGTCCCAGCACTTGAGCACCCTGTGGCCTCGGCTCGACTCTAACCAGTCTCGTCCTTTCTCTTCCCCAAGTCTGATCTTCCATTTTCTTCCTCTGCTTCTCCCGCCCATGGTGAGTTGGCTTTTTCATTTCAATCTAATTAGAGCGCCCTGCCAGGAGAAGGCAGCGCAGGGCGTTCTCTCTGCAGTGCTCTGGGAATTAGTCACTCGGTGCCCATTGTCATTAATGGGAATTTGGCGCCAAGGCCATTTATCCTGGTGTCCTCAATCAATACAGTTAAAAATCTGTGGATTCTAAAATGTCAATACCCGGCCTGAAATATGGAGGGCCAGTACCATTTTATCTCGTTAATTTATAGTTCTGACGGGCTGTTGGCTTACGGAACAGCCATGAATCAACACTTAATCAAATCTGCTCACAGATTAATTATTTTTGGCGCTCCTGTTTCCGTCTGCAATCTCCCTAACAAACGTCTCTGCTACATTAGGCACAGGCGGCCTCAGGGAACACTGGCAGACGCCACCCAGGTCCCAAGTGTCACCGGCTTTGTGCGTGACTTGTCCTGCAAACCAGTCAGCTGGTCGTTTCCTTAGAGTCCCTGGGCTTGCTCAGCTCTGAGGGTCCCTCTTGCATATCTTAGCCCCTCAGAGCTGCACTTCTTCTTCTTGGTGGGCAGCAGCTCCTCCTGGCAGTGGGGTGACATGTGACTTATATTTGGTGTCTGAGGTAGGTCCAGCCCCCTGCAGAGCTCCAGGCAGTCATGGCCAGGGACATCTGCCCTCCTGTCTGGGATGCTCATATCCTCCTGTCTCAGTGCCACTGTGTCTTGGGAGGGATTGGCCAGGTGAAACTGCACTCCACATGCCTATTCTTTTTCTAAGAATTGTCTTCGGCCCCATCATGACTTGGGCTAATGTCACAAGTCCCTGCTGTAGCCCTGGTGTCCCATGTGCCACTAGGCCTATATTGAGCTGATACAGATAAATGGAATAGGCCCTTTGCTTGAGTATCATGCTTAGCCCCCCCCCCCTGCACTGGCCTGTGAGAAACCCATCTCTATCCCCATTTTTTTGATGCAGAAACTGAGACTTGGAGTGTTTGGTGACTTCCTTGAAGTGTTGACAGCCAGTACATGGACTGGTGTGCTCTCCACTCCCCTCTCCCCTCACAAACTCCTGGCAGGGTGCTTGGCTGTCTGCAGGCAGTGGCTCAACATCTGCTGAATACAGGCCTTGGGAGAATGGAGTGAGTGCCTGCACGGTCTTGACTAAGCCTCTGATGAAGTGACGGGCTGAAGGATGCTTCTTGAGCTCCGGACAGCTGCGCTCCAGGAGGAGCAGTGTTAGCCTTGACAGCTCCCGAGCACTTGGCTTAGGAAGAGTGAGTAGTGTCCAAATGAAGGCCGAGGGGAAGAGCACTGCCGGCTCCTGAAGCTTTGGAGGAGAGGCCGTGGAAGAAGGCTCCGCGTCAGGCTAAGCCTCTGAAGTGGCACCGGCTCCCACTGGTGCTTGAAGCAAGTGTTTTACTGCAGCCAGGGCCTCTGTGGGTTGCCAAGCTCTGTGGCACACTCACGTTTTGCCAGCACATTCCAGGAGAACCTGCTTAGTTAGGGTCCTTAGCGCCCCTGACCACCAGGGAGGAAACAGCCTGTGTTGGCTGTGTCCCAGGCCTTTCCGACTGGCATTCTTGTCTGCTTACCACTCGAGGCCCAGTGATGTTGCAGCTAGGTCTGGCAGGGTCTGAGCTGATGATGGTCCCTGGTCACTGTCCTTTGGGTACTGTCTTGCCCGCTCACCACCCTCATTAGCCATACCCCAAGAGCTCCCTCTCACCCCCTTCCGTATGTGTCAGCCATCTATGACCCCTCTCCTGCACATTCTCCAAGCAGCCTTTCATTGGCTTCCCTCCAGAGAGGGTCTCTGTATCTCCATAAACCAGTGTCACCCTTAGTTGGGAAGCTCATGTCAGCCCTCCTTATGAAGAAGGCGGCACCCAGGCCCCGGCATGATTGTGTCAATTGATATGGGCTCCCAGAAGCTATGTGTCTCCTGTGTGTAGGCAGAAGTCACCAGTGAGCAACTGGCCCTTCTTAGGTTAGGCTGCCTTTGTTGACTGACCCTGGAGCTGAACGAGGCCAGGGCATGTTCGGTTTCAGCGTGGTTGGCTCTGTGTTTCAACAAAGCCGCTGACAGCTAAACACAGCTGGTTTGCAAGCTAACTCCCCACCCCCTAATTTTAAGAAATTCAGTTTTGTCCAGATAATTGAAAGTTGGCTGGGCTTGGAAAGAAAAGCATGATGGCAACTGCCAGCCTCCAGCAGCCACCGTTCATGTGGCCCTACTGTGTTTGCTCTGGGGCTTGCTCCTGCTTTTGCTGTGTCTTTTCCCACAGCTGCCTCTGAGGGGCAGTTTTGAGCCTGGTTTTACAATAAGGATGCCAGACTCAGAGCTGCACTGCCAGTGAGTCCAGAGCCCTGCTGGTGGGCATCCAGACGAGGCCTACCTGGCCCTCCGCCGGCATCCTGCCGGGCCTCTGCCCACTTGCCAACATGGCCCTGCTCCTGATCCATGGAGGTTGATTGGAAAGTTAGCAAGCTTCTTTTCTCGTTAACTTTGAGTCAGGATGGTTAAATTTACAGCTGGCTGAGTACTTCCCAGAGGATGAGTGTAACGATATTGATTTTAGCGAAATGAGTCATATGCCTGCTGCCTGGGAACACAGGCTCAATTACCACGAGCCAACAACATAAGCTTTCCCTTGTCAACATTTTTCCTACATGTTCGTGAGTCTGTGGCTAGGAACAAAGAGCCGTGGAGAAGGAAAGGTCATGAGTATCTGGCGGGTCTGGAGGTGGAATGCAGACAGAGGGACTCTGGGGTCACACAAGCCCAGTCACTGTCTGCATGGCTGGACAATAGGGCCAGATGTCCTCCCCCTACCAACTCCCTTTCCTCAGCTCTGAGACGCAGGTTAATTCCTGCCATCACCCAGGATTGTGGTGCAAGGTCCAGAGAGGCCTGAAGGACAGACTTATTGTACATCTTGGGTCCCTTCCCACTTGTGCATTCACAGTAACTTAGTTAAGGTGAGCTTCTGCAGGGGCACCCATGTACCCTCTCCTTCCTAGGGACCAGCACTTGGTTTTCATTTAACCTGAAATGCTATTGATGTGGCAGAATGGTCTGGGAGCCAGACATGTTGAATAAAAATAGAGGGCCTTCAGGGTCCTGAAGCCTGACTGACCATCGTGTCCCCTGGTGCAGACATTGGGCTGACAGATGAGGTTACCCTGGTTACATGGGTGGCTACCTCAGGGAAGCGTAACGGCTCTACCTAAGAAAGGAAGAGGTGCAACTCAAAGGAGTTGCCTGTCCAGGGTCACCCCAGCATCACTCAGCGATACTGGATGATAGAGCAATGGGAGTGATGATGTCAGGAAAAGATCCTGGGTTCCAGGGTATCCCAGCATCACTCAGTGATACTGAATGATAGAGCAATGGGAGTGATGGTGTCAGGAGAAGATTCTAGGTTTCTGCAGAATTCTTGAAGCATGACTTTGCTTTCAGGATGATTTAATTTATTATAGGGCTGGGGATTGAAATTCAGAGCCTCATACTCATAAGTAAGTACTCTGCACCAAGCCACATCCCGCCAACCCAGAAACATATTTTCTATTTGTATCATTA